ACTTGGAGAGGGCTCTGCACTTTTATTTATGGCTGATCGACAACTATAGGTAGCTGATCTACTATAGGCAGCCATTACATTGGAAGTAAGAGTTTCCAAGCCAGTCCTTGGAACACTTTGTGTTTCTTAAGGTTTACCCTGCACCAAGTTTGTCATATTCCGCTGACTTAGCTGATCTCTCCCTTTACTGAGAAACAAAAACCTCTTCATATGCAACATTTTCGTTAAATGCAAAGGAATTCTCAATGTTCAACACCCCTTTCTACGCACTTTCACTGTCTCAGAAACAGTGTTGGCCTCAAACAGCCACAGGCAGTGTTACTAATATCTCAAAGATCTGTTGTGTCTCTAGGAAACTTCCTGGGGCTTCCCTGATACAGGAATCCTGCCCCGGACAAAACTGACCAAGTTCTTCAGACCAGGATAATTACCAGCAAGCCCAGGAGAATCACAGTGTGACAAGGCTGGGCACAGTAGGAACAAAGAGCTTCAGGCAGTTGTGGGCAGCTGCCTAAGCAAGAGGGAGAGGGACTGTGGAGCATGGGGAAGGGAGAAACCCGGTTCAAGTTCACACAGAGCTTTCATCTGAAGCAAGGGGATTTTCATCTTGTTTTAAGTGAACAGTTCAACAGACTCAATCCAGTCACTTCCATAAACCAACCATAGCATAAACCATCCCAATTAATAAAACTAGCTTCTAATGGACTGTTGTCCAGAGATCAACTGTCTCCAATCCTTGAATCCACAGTAAATGCTTAATGCTCCACTGAAGCTCACAATGAAGTTCAGACAGCAAATCAAAAGGACAAACTTTCAACATATCTATTTTTATCAGGCAGAGGTTCAGCAAAATTTCTTCAGTGACATTTAAAAGAGAAATCTTTGTCATTCCATCAGGGGTTGCATAAAAGTGCAAAAGCAGGTAATTCCCTGGGCACTGAGGCATGTGCCACCACCTGAACAGGGAACACTTGCCTCCTCTTCAGGTCTGTACACTTTTAGGGAGGCTTTAGGGAATTAGGAAAATCCACTATTAAAACACATCTCATTTTCAGGGACTTCTCACTGGAGAAGGGAACTCTCAGTGTCCTATACTATATACCCTGGGCAGGGCTGGCCTGCCGGGAAGTATTTTGACTTTGAGGTGGTTAGATCTATGCCATATAAATCTCAGTGGTCACTCAGCTGGCAAAGGATGGCAAATGCCTAGCTACAAATCCCTATAATGCCTCTGGACTCGAGGCACAACGAGCTGGCCAGTGGATCCACTCCACCCACCTGGGCTGCAAGAAGAGCATGTGCAGCGTGGGTGCCAGCCAGAACAAGTCATCTCTTTCAAGACATTCACTGCATCATATGCATGTTCAAAGGTTGCTCCAGCCCTCTGCCACTCTCTCCCTCCACCTTCTGGACCTCCCCAGCACCCAAGCACAACTAATTGCTCAGTGTCCCTGTGAGTAGATAGGACTGGGCAGCTGAGTACATTTTGCTGCTCCCATCTCACAGCCCTCTATAGAATCTGTCAGCATCAGTACAATTAGGGCTGAGGAATCGCTATTTGTTTGCTGGTTTGCTTCCCTTCCCAACATCATTCCAATTCAGAGGAATGGTATCTTAAAACACCCTTTTGTGCAGGAATTCATTCCCCTTACTGATCTTGCAGAACAAAGTAGCCTCTAGGATACTTGCACCCACCTTACCAGTTGGCTCAAATAGAGTAAGCTTCAAGACCTTAAACCCTTAATCATGGGGAACCCAAATGGCTTTTCAGAGAAATTCATTTTCTTGTCTATTTGACAGAAAGCCTTCACGTAACTGAGGTGACACAGTTATTTGATGGATGCTGTCACAACACTCAGCCTTTTCACATTGAAGATTGATGGCTTCTAGAAATAGGTAAATGTCATTCACCTAAGAACTGGGATCTCAGCTTCAACAGAATAAACAGACCTTTCCTGCACCTACTAACCACAGAAGCATTTCCTGGGCACAACAGACTCCATCAGTGCCAAAGAGAGAAGGTCACTGCACAACGAGAATCTCAGAGCAGCAGTGGGTACTAGCAGTAGACAGCTTTACTCACAAGGGTAAAATGACACCTCCTAGAGAGAATCCCTTTAGTTCTGCCAGGTCTAGGATGACTTTTAATTCAAGAGGATGGAAGAATGTTTATAAAACCATCACAGAATTGCAATTAACAAATCTACATGCAGCAGATTTGCAGAATCAGAACAGAACCATTGTCTTATTTGGAGAGAGTTCTGAAAGTGGCAGGTTATTTTACTTCATGCCTGTGTCTCTGTTGTTATCTGCCCCTCATGTCTCAGCACTACTTCTGCATTCATCAGCAAGGCCAGTTAAAAATCGCCTGAACTGCCGTCTGACCAAGTGCTTATCTGCACAACTGCACAACCCATACCATCAGTTAGGGAAAAACAATTTCCCCTGGCTACTAGAGACAGCCTAATTACCTAATCTGACAGGTTATTAATGGCTCAAGTCAACAAAAAGTATAATGGATGCTGATAAGCACAAGCTGCCTGGACATTTGGCATGTGCAACCCAGCTAGAAATCACTACTGTGAAAAGCTGCCACTGGCCACAGGACTAAATTGTCTGATCTCTCAGGGTTTCATTTAACAGGTCTATCAACGTGATAAAGAGACAAACTAGCAAGTTTAGTCCATTAATGAGAACTGTGAAACAGCCTAACAGTATAAAAGATATTTATGTTGCAGGTTAATATAAAAATAAATCTCTGCTTCGTTTCTTGATAATTGCAACACCCTTCTGTTTTACCGAGCTACTTGGGGGACAAAAACCATGCTATTTTCTGTACTAGGAATGAGAGTGGTACAGGTCAGGGTTCAGAAGGAAATGGGCAGCAAGAGTCAAGACAGAGCCCCTGCTTAAAGTATTATCAGCCCTCCCATAACTCACCACAAGTGCTGCATTATTTCACAGGTCTGTTTTAAAGATCCAGTTACTAGACTCACATGATCCCATCAGAATCTCAGATTTTCATTTTAAAGAGGAAAAAGCGACATTTCCTTGCAGTTACTGACAGCAGTGGACTGTATAGGTGTATCCTGAACAGCTCCAAGACAGACAGCACACAAACAAGAACTCACGCTACTGGTTATTTATTGTAACCTTAAGGTTTTACAGGCCACTCTTGTAACCACTTGGCAGCTTTCCCCTGAGGTGTAAATGCCTTGGTGCTAGCAGCATTGAGGCATTAAATGATGAAGAGAAAGAAACAGATTTGTCCCATAGGCTTCAACTTGGAGCCAGCACATTGCAACACTGACAGTCACTGAAACAACTGCACCACAATGGCAAACAGCAGCTCACACCCCCAGCGCCCATGAGACAGGTTTTTCACATAGACTATTTAACTTCAATCTGGTTCATTGACTTTTTTTTTTCAATTAAGAACATCTTTCATTGTGTTTTGTTGCACTGATTCCCTGTGAGATCTTTCATCTAGCACTTCTGGATTTAGTCCACTTCTCTGCTTAAGCATCCATCCTCTATTGCTCATGCAATGAAAGTGCTTAAGGGGGTTACCTGAGCAATCAATACTCCAGTAGATCTTATGTATGTTTTGAGACATGTCCCCTCATTAAGCAAAACTTTACATTTTACACCACTGAAATATTTATCTCTATATCTCTGCAGATCCCCAGAATCATGACAGCCACACCTTGGAAAAATATCAGAAGAGACACCTACCCACTTAAGTGCACCCTGGATAACATGTTTGACTGACATGTAACATGAATATATTTCAGTTCAGGGCGTTGCACATTTACAACACCTTGTACTCCCTGAAAATAAAAGTCCTGGTGGTTCACTCAGCACTTGCATTGCTTAGAGCACTTTAGGCCTAAAGCCCAGCTTCTAATCCAGATAAAGCAACTATTGATTTCCTTGGATGGTTTTTCCTCTGCCAGCAGTAAAACTACAGGTATCTACATAAGCTTTCTGCAGCAAACTCAAATTTGCAAAGCAATTTTGCTTGGAACTGCCAAGCGAACCACATCAAAATCAGAGTGTTTCATTAATGTTAAAATCTTTCACTGCTGTTGTGGTTTAACCCCAGCCAGCAACTAAGCACCACACTGCCACCCAGTAGGATGGGGAAAAGAACCAGAAGGGTAAAAGTGAGAAAACTCGTGGGTTGAAAATAAGACAGTTTAATAGGCAAAGCAAAAGCCGTGCACACAAACAAAGCAAAACAAGGAATTCATTCACTGCTTCCCAAGGGCAGGCAGGTGTTCAGCAGCCCCAGGACAGCAGGACTCCCTCACACATGACGATGATGACTTAGGAAGACAAACACTGTCACTCCAAACATCCCCCCTTCCTCCTTCTCCCCCAGCTTTATTGCTGAGCATGAGGCCATATGGTCTGGGATATCCCTTGGGTCAGTTGGGATCAGCTGTCCCAGCTCTGTCCTCTCCCAGCTCCTTGTGCCCCCCCAGACTCCTCACTGGTAGGGTGGGGTGAGGAGCAGAAAAGGCCTTGGCTCTGGTTAAGTGCTGCTCAGCGAGAACAAAAACATCTATGAATTATCAACACTATTTCCAGCAAAAATCCAGATCATAGGCCCATACCAGATAACGTGAAGAAAATTAACTCTATCCCAGCCAAAACCAGCACAACCACCTTTTCAAAATCCCCATACATCTAACAAACACCTAAGGTTTGTATTATTTTACAAGACCATAGGTGATATTGGAGGTTGAGGACAGTAAACAGATATAATTATGGCCAACAGAGAGGGGAAGTCATGGTATAACCTTCAGGATGTTATTAGCCTGGTATACCACTGTTTAGGCAGTGATGAAATCATTGCTTAATAGAAACTATTACTGGGACAAAGAGGCAGTCATTCTATTATGTTAGGCTCTGTAAAAATGAGCTAAACCTGTTTCTTTTTTTCTATAACCGGATAACACTAGTCATCAACTGTAACCACAAACAAAACTGCTCACCTGACATTCCTCACTTGCCTCTCAGTATCTTCAAGATCAGGCTTTACACCAGTTCACTACTGCAGAGTGCCTGGGGGTGCTGGAGGCTCTGGGCACTCCACACATATCCAGTAATGTGCAGCCCATGGCAAAGACATGAAGCCAACCAGGCACAGTCAGTGAAGTCTCCCTTCAAACCAGGCTCCTGGATCCCCAGATGACATTGCATACTGCTCCCTTTTAAAAAACAAAAACAAAAAAAAAGGGTAGGTTCTTCTGTAAGGGCATAAACAATTCCAGAAAAAAGTACATTATCAAAAGCAAAATTATGAAGTCCAAGCAAGCACAGGATCTTTACAGAGCATGTAGCAACCTGCAGGAGTCTGGGGTGTAGTTCTTTATTACTATTCCTTTTCTGATTTCTAGAGTAAAATTGCACATAATTTCCAGCTATGTGAAAAGGATCTTTGAACATGTGTCAATACTTCTTATGCTGTAAGGTCAAGAAAGCTAAGAGATCACAAAATGAATGCATTTTCTACTATTGGATTACAAACCCTCAAAAGACTCAATAACATATAAAGGAAAAATATACCAAGTGGCATGCAGATCTGCAGGAGGTGGCATAAAAACTTTAAGTAGCATTAGGTGATTAGCCCTAAGCTGTTCTTTTGCGTGCATATGTAAAAATCAATCAACAGAGCATATATGTAACTGTATTTCACCATTCTGAATTCCCTGACTGTTGGAAAGCTACAATATAATACAACATTTAGTCTTGCTGTAAAAAGCTGTTTGCTTCAGAGCTGTGTTCTGACCTCAGAAAATCTTTTACTTTTATGCCGTTTGAGGTAACATCAAAAATCTCATTTAATCTTGTCGCAAGATGCTAAGAGAAACGTAGACACTCAGCTTCCCTCACTGTTATAGGCAGCTTTTCCCCAAACTTTTTTCACATTTCTACATGTACCCCACATGTGCCACAAGAGGGAGCGCAGAGTTCACCTTCCTTAAACTCTCCATGCCAAAGAAGAGGTAGAAATAAGCAGTTCGATGTAATTACCTACGACTAAAGTCAGGCTAAGAGTTAATAATGACTTTATACAGCACACAGGTCTTCAGACAATGAAAAAAGCCATTTTTTTGCTTTGAAAAGGTGTTGCCTCACATTCACAATGTGATGAGCTCTCTTCAAAGCCAGCAGATGCTGCAGAGCTCACCTAAGGATCACACAGGGTGACGCCAAGGATGGCAAAATCAAGACAATCCTGATGGGGAAGAAACCTGTAGGTTCATCACAGCAGCGTGAACAGAATATTTGCAAGCAATTGATAAGCCTTTCCAAGCATATCAAATATGTGGGGGGGAGCAGGGACAGATAAGGAAACTACACACTTCTTGCAGGTACTGCTCTTAATGTGATTTCTCACTAAAACAATATCAGAAAATAGCTCCCTAAAAAAAAAAATCCCCCTGAACCTCCTCTTCTGCAGCATATATGACAACAAAGAGTGTACAAGCTTGCAGTATAGGAGAGTGTCCCTGGTCATTCCTTCTCTCTCTCTCTCTCCCCCCTGTCCTATCTACCTTCTCCCCCAGTCATCAAAACTCTTTTTAAGTACTACTGTTATGAAACTGAATATTATAATGTTTAGAAATAGAAATCTTAAATCCAGGTAGTTACAGGTTGCTCCTGAAATATTATGACACCACTGCTAAAAGCAGAGCAATCAAATAGATGCCTAAGCCCATTGACTTTCAGTCTGTAGTGATTCCAACCATTGTTACCACTGGTATCAAACACAGCAACTTACATATCCTTAAACATTGCTGGATAAACACAGACTAAACCCAGATATAGATTTTCTAGGAGGAGGAGAAAAAGAGAACTGAGTTCTCTGCCTCACACTTACCTTCCTCTTGAATGAGGTTACTTGACTGTAGCTATCCAGTTCTGCTCAGATCCAGGCTGCATTTGTGTCATCCTTCACAATTAGTTTCCAACATGTGGATGAGAAGTTTGCTCAGCTCATGTCTTAGCTGCTTAGTTGTTTCCTTTTGATGATTCACTCCATTCCAATTCCACAAAGGTAATTACAGAATGATTTTATGAAGCCTTTACTGTTCAGAACTAGTTCATAAAATAAAGAAGCCAAGTGACTAATACCAGTATCTCTTCCACACTTTCAGCCTGTAGAACTAAGTCACCAACTCTTCACAATTTAAAACAACAAACAGGTGCCCTTCTGTTTCTAATATCCCTGTGGAGTCCTAAGTCAGCTCAGCTGTAGACAACAGTTACTTCCCTCTGTTATTGACAGCAGCTGTCACAAACACCACCAGTGGCAGACTCCAGGTGTTTGCTGTTACCAAGTGTGCCACAGTTCAGAATGAGAGAGCATTAGAGGGATGGATTCCTCTTCTATGAGGAAAGGTTGAGAGAGTGGGGATTGTTCAGCCTGGAGTAAAGAAGGCTTCAGAGTGACCTAATTGCAGCCTTCCAGTACCTGAAGGGAGCCTACAAGAAAGACTGAGAGAGATTTTTTACAGGGTATGTAGTAATAGGACATAGGGAAATGGCTTTAAACTGGAACAGAGTAGATTTAGGTTAGATATTTGAAGAAATTCTTCCCTTGTGAGGGTGGTGAGGCACTGGAACTGGTTGCCCAGAGAAGCTGTGGCTTCCCCATTCTGGGAAGTGTTCAAGGCCAGGTTGGATGGGGCTTTCAGCAACCTGGTCTAGTGGAAGGAGACGTGGAACTGGATGATCTTTAAAATCCCTTCCAGCCCAAACTATTCTATGATACCTTTCTAGCTGAACATAATCTACGCCTGATTCCCTTTGCACTTGCACTGTCATGAGTCAGCAGCAGAACTGCTGTGGTCAGAGATGTGCTATAATACCCCGAGCCCAGTCAGACTGTACCTCAATAAATCCAGCCAAAGGAGTTCCCAAATCACTCTATTACCAAATGCAGAGCTCTCTGATCCTTAAAAAGACAAAAAAACAAGTCAGAGAAGCAATCCACAAAACAGTCCAGGAACCTCACTACAGCTACATCTGTAGCTGTACATCTGTATATCTAGATATTGTATTAAATATCTAGGATACTATTGAATAGCTGTGAGCCAACAGGCTCACTAAAAGAAATGTACTACTACAGACTTTTACCTATTGACTGGCTGCTTCACTTACAGATCTGTTAGAAGAACAGATACAGGTGCTATGGATTTCTGCAGTTATCCCTCCTATAAAATATTTAGTGTATTAAAGTGGGTGTATTAAAGGGACAATCTGATAGTTCAATCAATAAGGCTGAACATGGGCAACCACTTTATACACACAGAACAACCCACCACCTTTCCTACACCACTCCATCTCAGCATGCCTCAGCTCCCCATGATGGCAGCAGCAAAACTGTTATAAAGAAATAGGATGACAGAGCAATTACTTTACTCCAGTTGTGGAAGAGTGAGGCAGAGATAACAAAAAGACTGTAGCAGAGCCCCTCTTGCACATTACTAGACAGTTCACAATTCTCTTAATTTTTTTGTGACTTAAGTCCCTGTCTGTAAAGTGAGTTGGAATTAGTCATAGTACCCACAGTGTTTGGGAAGAAATGGGTAGCTCCATATCTGCATAAAGGAACTCCAAAACCCTCAGACAATACTGAATAACACATCTGGTAAAGTTTCTAAAATAATTATGGCAATTAACTCGCCTACCAAAAAAAAAATAATCAGAAACAGATTTTTCAGTGATCATTTTGAAGCTAACACAAGTTTACATTTAGGGGTTAAAGAGAAAATACTAAGCATGTATTTTGTGGGTACAACCCATTTTACAATTGTAAATGGATAACCATCAGCTATGATGTATTTTAAACACAGCTTTCTCAGAGATAATTTATTAGCAAAGGCAGTATGACTATTCCAATGTTACATAAGAACAAATGAGGCATATAGAAACAGTGATTTGTCCCAGTGGGCCAGCAAAGGAATGAGGAATGTGGTCTTCCGAGTCTAGTCTAACATTCTGTCCAGTCAGCCCCTATATAAAGTAATTTGAAAAAAAAAAGAGAGTAATTTTCACTCAAGGAATGTGCAACCATGATAGAGGACTGACACCCCTCAGAAAGAGTCAAAAATTAATCTTTACACAGAGATATAAACTGGTTTGTTAAGCTAATATCTGGCATTTTCTAAGAAAAAATAAACTAATCTTGATTTGTTTTTATTTATTCCTGGACTTGTGGGACTCTAGGCTTTACTAGTTCTTAAATTTTTCTCCATGAAAGCAAAGTCTAGAAACTTTGAGAAGTTAGAACATACATTTTTTACTTTTAGAAGAGATGAGAGCCTCCTTTAATTCTGACCCAAAAAGGGGTGGCTTTAGTAGACTCAGTAAATATTACAATATTATAACAGCACTGCCAGAGGTACCTATGCAGCAAAGAGCTCATCACTTTTCATCTAAAAGTGAGAAACAGTGCATTACAGAGGCTGCTGAGAGAATACTCAGGTTTAGGTCGTTCAAGGTATCTCACAATATTTTCATATAATTTCAACAGGAACCTTTTACATGCCAGTCCTTCAAGAACCAAATGAACAAAGGGAAGACTGAGGCTCTCACTCTATTGGCCTGCATAAATTCAAAAGTCTGCAGAGGGGGAAAGAACAGATCTGAAACTCAGCCTGCCAAGATATTTGGATGGGGACACAACAGAAGGGCATCTGCTCAGGACAGTTTGGTCAGAATGAGCACAGTGGCAGCAGCATCCACCACCTCAACACAACTGGCTTCTCCGGAGTTAGTCAGCAACACCTCAATTCTTATCTCATTTGTCTACCAACTAATACTTTGCTGTGCTCTTGAATATGCAGCACAGAAAGGGAAGCTGAATTGCCATGTACTGCACACACATTTTCTTTCCAAGCAGTCAGGTATGCCTAATCAGCAAAAAGCACTTACATTATTTCCAGAAGTTATTAACTGAAATGGGAAACCAGCTTACTGTGATTCCATTACAAAAGAGTTACTGCACTCAGGTGCAGCTGGTATAATAAGTATCAATTGGCTTGAGAGAACTTAACTATGCCAACTAAGGCTTTGTCCCACAACATTCAGTCTTGCAGTTCTCCAGTATTTACAGGATTGCCACACATAAGATCTAATCCCGTAAAAAGAAAGAGAGGTGCTGATCTTCAAGTTCACCCAGATCTTCAGGCCTCAGTGTAAAACAGAAATAGAATGAGATACCAGCTGTATTAATTAGAATATGAAACATTAATTATATGGCATTAAAGGTGTTCAGCACTTTTCAGGATGTAGTTCCTATAACATCAACCAAAGCCGACTCCGAGTTCTCATCAGAATCACTTCTGCCTTTCCCAAGTTTTGCACTTAGATCTCTCAAACAGATATCTTTCTTCTTCAAGCCAATAAAGCTTCAGGCTGAGCTGTCAAACTAACTCCTTGGACTTTCTTCAGGAAATTTTTCCTGTAATTTCCTCATATTTTGTCTCAGAACTTTCTTTCAATATAAATATAGTCAGGCTTTGTTTTTTAGGCCTAAGTACTAAAATTAATTAAAATGCATTTATGTATTTAAAGCTCTATAAAGAATGCTGAAGTACATTATCAACACACCAAGAAACATTTCAAGCACATCAAACACAAGTCCCCCTCATGCAATTGCAACTCTGCTGTCATCCACAAACATACACGCATGCTTCCTTTCATTTTTCAAACACTTTGTGGACAAGGTGAGCTTTACGAGTCATCTGTCACATTTTACTTTGTATGGGAGTCAAAGAAAACCAAGAAAGCAGTAGTGACAAGGTTGGTTAAACACAAAGTGATGAAAAAGTCATTTAGATCACACTCTTTTGGGGCATCTTTCAACGGCATTAGGCAGCAACTACAAGATATATTGTTCAGCTTATGACAAGAAACAATACAAATCCAAATTACCAAACTAAAAGTCAGCAGTGTAAGTGTGACTTGCCTGAGAACATCCAAAAAATACAGCTGTGTGGTGGGTTGACCTTGACTGTATACAAGGTGCACATCAAGGTGCTCTGTCCCTCCTCTCCTCAACAGGACAGGGAGGGGAGAAAACAAGTTGAAAAAAGTTAATGGGTCAAGATAAAGGCAGTTTAATAATGCAAAACCAAAGGCCAGGCATGGAAGCAAAGGAAGACAAAAGATTTATTCTCTACTTTCCATCAGCAGGCAATGTCTGGTCACTTCCTGGGAAGTAGGGCTTCAGCACACGTAGGAGTTACTCTGGAAGACAAATGTCATAACAACAAATGCCTCACACCCCTCATCCTTTCCCTCAGCCTTTATTGCTGAGCAGACATCATAAGGTCAGTTGAGGTCAGCTGTCCCAGCTGTGTCCCCTTCCAAGATCTTGCCCACCTCCACCACATTGGATGAGGTGAGAATGTTGCAGAGACAGCCTTGATGCTGAGGAACACACTGCTCAGCAATAGCCACAGCACTGGTGTGTTACCAACACCTTTCTACCAACACACAGCACAGCCCTATGGGGGCTGCTCTGGGGAAAATTAACTCCCTCTCAACTAAACCCAAGACAATCTCCACCCATTATTCCATATCATTTGTATCATGCTCAGGTCCCACATAATTTAATAGATATACATCTTCTAGCCATGTCATTGCATTTAAATCTCGTTACTTAAATCCCTTCTTACCAACATGTATAACTTGTACTATGTACTTAATCCATCTTTACACCCAATACACAGTTTTATACATTCTCATTAACTAATATCCCCTGCCCTTTAACACTAAACTAATATTCTCATGTTAACCAGCCAAGTGGCTTCTGGTAAATTTTTATCAAATGTTTCTCTGCCCCATTGACTAATGATCACAACATAGTCTTTAGCAGCCCATTATATCTCTCATTCTTTCCAGAGGCTTGTGGGTGATAGAGCATGAGATATACCCCCAAATTGCTATGTTTCTCTGCCCACCAAAGCTGCTCTGTCATTCCCCCCCCTCAGCTGGACAAGGTAGAGAAAATATAATGAAAGACTCATGGGTGGAAATAAGGACTGGGAGATATCACTCATCAATTACCATCCCAGGAAAAACAGACTAGATTTAGGGAAATTAATTTATTACCAATCAAATCAGAGTTTGGTAAGGAAAAATAAAATAAAATCTTAAAACACCTTTCCCACTCCCTTCTTTCTGAGCTTAACCTCACTCCTGCATTCCCTACCTCCTCCCAGCACAGAGGGACAGAGAAGGGGGATTGCAGACAGTTCATCACACCTTGTCTCTGCCGCTCCTTCCTGTGGAGTGGAAGGGCTCCTTACACTCTTCCTCTGATCCAGCCTGGGGTCCCTCCCATGGGAGACAGTT